CCACCCGGAAATCCATCGCTTTCTCCCATCTCTCTCTTCTTTAATAATTCCTATAAATGTTATTTTAGTTACACTTCAACATTTTGCACTGTTCCTTTTAGCTCAACGCTGCCTTGCCATCCTGTTGGAAGGGCCTGAGCCTTGAGCCTTGCTTCAGCCAGACCGAGAGGATGCAAGCCCTCTCCAGCGGCCCGCTTCATTCTGCAAAGGCCACCAGGCTGTGTTCAGAAGGAGGAAAAAAAAGAAGAAAAGAGAAAAGAAAAAGTCCATGTATGCGTATACACACTCGCACACCTTTTCTACGCGCTCACACATAACCTTTAAAAAGAAACTTTCCAAGAGTTCAGCTAAAGTTAAAACAAAGCAAGTAACATGAGACTCAGTGCCGGAGCCGAATGGAAAGTACACGGAGTCCGACTGACCTGCGCTGCCGTCCAGCGGCTCCCGCGAGACCACCCGAAAAAAGCTCCCTGCTTCTGTTGGAGCCGAACGAGCCACATCATCTCCCTCCAGGGGTGGTGCAGCTTCTCACTAAAAGCCATAAATTAAAAATAAATAAATAAATAGGAGCAGAGGGAGGGGACCAGAGGGGGGGGAAGAAATCCCAAAGAGAAAAGGCCAAAAGGAAATGACCTTCCCTGCTATTAAATAGGTGACAGACGGGTATTATAAACGCATTGCGGGTTGGAAGGGAAAGGAAGGGCGAGGAGGTGACACATCGGCCCCTTCGGCTCAAGGAGAGGCCAGGAAGGGGACAGGATGGTAGACGAGCGTAACTGCACGGTGGGTTTTTGGCGACAGCCAGGACAGAGACGGCAAGACCGCTGTTGGCAGGGCACGTCCAGAACATCAACCAGGAAAAGAGAGAGGCCGCAAAGCACTAAAGGGAGGGAAAGGAGCCTCAGATCCTCTGGCTGCACCGAAGGGACACAGGCTTGGGTTGCATGGTCATATTTTCCAGACAACTGCAAAAAGCTATATTAATTCCTCCAGCCTTTGCTTGCCTTTGAATGTGATCATAGGAAGGGCTTGCAGAGCAGCAACGTCCTGTTCTCCAACACTCCCACCACAGCCAGGGCACTATCAGAGCTTTTTTTTTTTTTTTTTTTATGGGGAGAAGAGCAAGGAGGCAGAAGCTAATGACTTAAATAATTACCTAATTACTCACTAAGCACTCCCAACACACCCCATCTGCACTCTGGGATAGGTGCAGCTGAAACTCCCACCAGTAGCTTGTCCACAGGCCGCCACATCACTTGCAAAGCGCTTCATCCCACCACCCAGGGCCAAACGTTTCTAAAACTTTGTGGGTTTAAGAGACTCAAAGCAAGCCCTGCCCACAGAAAACTCTGGGACACAGATTTACTGAGGAGCTGATGACAGGAGCAGTCAATCTTTCAGTAGCCCAAATGGGAGATTTCAATCCATGCTGGCCAGTAAGGTCTCACCCTGGCCATGGAGACTGATAGGTCCCCAGGTGGGTGCAAAAATCCCACTTATGGGGTCCCCCAGTTCCCAGGATGGGGGTTTTACCCTGAGACCCCAAACCAGGAGGCCACAAGCCCTTCGAGAGGCGATGCAGATGAATATGAAACAAAAAGTTTGGAGATTCAACTCTTTTTATTATGGAAGTCTATAAAATAGCCACATGGATTATTTTTTTTTAAGATCACAAAATACACAACATTCACTTTAATATGTGACACATAATATTATATACATATTAAAAACCACATGACTGAAACACATGTTCACACGGCACCAATTTCATAACGAAAAACCCCACAAGTGCTTTTTTTCTTTTTTTAATATTAAAAACAACTGTGATAAAACATATTAATATTTTTCCAGACAATGTTTACAATAAAGAGAAAAAAAATCATATTTTACTAAATAACAAATATTTAACAGCAAAACTTTATACTAAATATCTATTTTGAATTATAACAAAAATAGTACTTATAATAGTTTATAAAGACAGACAAAAAAAATTTGTGTATAAAATAATATTATAGCAAATTGGACTGTGCTAAGAAAAAAACAAACAATTCTGAGATTCAAAGTGCTTTATTCTGCAAACCCACTGCAGCAACTTTTTTAGTCAAGTTATATTAGTTAGGAATGGAAAAACAAAAGCATGACTTACTTATGCCTAGATTAAATACTCACACACACAAACATTATATATACACATGATGTAAGCATATATATATAATGGATGTATGCATCTTACATGACCGCTCTCCAATCAGCCACTCACTCAAAAGAATGTTTGGTTTTCACGTTGTAATGACATTGGCAGTTAAAATAAAAATTTCAGTGAAACCCTTCACTGATTTCCCGTAAGCACAAGCGGGACCGAGCCCTTTCAGAAAAGTCTGCCCAAGAGGTTTTGCTTTCCGTAGCGCAGTGCAAAGCCACACGTGAGCTTTAACTGGACCTTTTAATCTTGTTGTCTGTTCCTCTCTCCAGCTTTCCCCTTTCTCAGCCTCCCCTCTCCCCTGAGCAGAGTTTTATTCCCCCGACAGGTCTCAGCTGGAAATTGGGGGCTCCTGGATAGCACCCGGCAGTGGGTCTCTCCTGGGTTTTCACCCTGCAGCTCCCCCCTGGAAAATCATCCCCCACCTGCTGCCCCTGTCCCCATGTCCTACAGGGCTCATCATCAGCAAAGACCATGGACACCCTCACGTGCCACTTACCTTTCCCCAAATGTTTGCCCCAGGAGACTCACCCCTTCCCACCGCATTAAGGTTTATGTTCTTTGCTTCTTTGCCCTTTAGGATTTTGATCGTGATTAAGCTCCTTTTATCACCAGGAAAGTTTTCTCTCCTTCAGGGACAAGGAAAATACCTGAAATCTCAACAGTGCCTGAGCTAGCAGTGTTTCGCTCAAAATTTCCAGGCTGGCAAACTAGCTGAGCCTCTGTTTCAGGGACATGGTGCACATAGCCAGAGGCTCCTGAGACCTTGCTTTTGGGTTTGGCACGCTGTTTACCAACCAGAAGGCAAGTTCTGGATCTGAATGGCATCTCCTAGAAGACTGGGAGTTTTATTTCAGGTTAAATCAACCTGAAAATCAAGCCGTGAACCCTGGCATGAGTGGAGACCATCTGCCGGGATGCTCCTGGAGGGTTTCTGGCAGCTTGGCTGACGGCAATCCAACCTCAAGTGCTTCCCCTGGCTGAAAAAACTGCCTCCCACCTCCTTGCCCCCACCAGACGATGGGCTGGCAAAGGCAGCCATCACCATCGCTTGCTTCACACTTCCTTCGACCTTCCAAAGAGGCACCCGCTCGTCAAAAGCACAACCTGCAAAGCAACCTGGTAAGCCACACCTGCCCCTTCGCCTTTCTTATTTCAACCCCTCAGACTTATCTGGACACCTTTAAAGCAGAAAGCCAAGCTGACCACCCAAGCATGAGATCTTTTCCCATCATGGTTAGGAGAGGTCTCAGCCATGGTCCTTGTCTTGTTCTTTCCACCTCGGAGGGCGGGAGATGGGAGAGGAGTGGGGCTGGGTAGGCTGGGCAGAGATGCCTCAAGTCAGAGAGGGATCTCCCAACCCGGTGCTCGGCTCTAGTCTGAACCGAACGCCTGCCAGGGCACTCGGGGAGCTTTTGCTCTGTACCCACAGGCAAGGCCATGTCCGCTTTCAACACAACCCACCCATCTCACACTCAACCCAGAAGACTCTTGCATGCAAAAAAATAAAATAAAATAAACCCACCCAGCAAATTGAATGCAAGATACCTTGTGGACGCTCGCTTGTGCCGGAGAAGCTTTGGGCAGGACCCCTCTCCCAGGTGAGTGATGGGACGGGGCGGACAGCTTGCAAGGAGCCCGCCACTCGTTCTCCTTCCAAGCTCTCCCATCACCAAACAAAACCCAAACACGAGACAAACAATGCGTACATTGGCTTATTTATAGAGATCACCTTTAATGCAAATGCCTCCCATGGAAGAGGACGCACGGAAACGAGCAGCTCTGAGCAGGGCGGCTTTGCGCAGCGCCCTGATGCTCGCAGAGCCGTGGTGGGTCAGTGGGGCCATGCAGTTCAGAGGCTGGTGCCTGCACCTTGAGGGAGAGCAAAGGCACCAAAATGCCCCCAAAACAGGTGCCTCTGCACAGGGAAGGGGCTGGTGAGGGGCTGCGGCGGGGGAATCGGTGCACACAGGCCGTGTAGCAGCAGCAGGAAACTCAACAAGAAAAAAAGGACACACCCCCCCCACCCAGAGCCCTAAATGCAAAATGCATTTTACAAAATGCAAATATGCACTTGTCTGAGGCCTCAGAGGGACGGCTCACCATCCGTTAGGCCCCAGACGAAACACCACAGGGTTTTTCGGTCCCGCAGCAGAGGCAAAATGGCAGCACCCCCTCCCCAGCCTGCCCCGGCACCAGCGGGAGGGGGAACAGGAACGAGCATTGCTCGTCTCCCCCTCATCAAGGAAAGCCTCCAAAGCCCCAAAACAAAAAACACAACTGAACAAATGAACAAAAAAAACCAAAAACAAAACACTGTTATCACCAGCTAATTTAACACTGTTAAAAAAAAAAGATCAGAGGCCACCCAAGAGCCACCCCAGGATGCCAGACCTCTGATTGCCGGCTGATTTCCAAAGCCTTTCCCGCAGTTAGGCCTTTGCAGCGCTCCTCCTCGCAGCAGAAGTGTTTTATAGATATTTATATATATATATTTATAATATTTAGATACTGTGTATGGTCAGACATCCCAGCTCAACTTGGGTTTTGTGACTCTTCCTCGTTCCAAATGAAAAGAGATGCGAGACGACACCCCAACCTTCTCCGCGCCCCGTGGGAAGAGCAAAACGGTTTTGGCAGCTTCACTGGTGGAGAAAGCAGTCCTGACCTGGAGGGTCTGTGAAGCGAGCGTCATGGAGAATCTTCTCGTCCCTCTCTCCTCCCCTTCTGTTCGTCCCCTTGCCCCCACCCCACCCCTCCGTCCCCCGGCCACCCGTCCCTTGTGCCACCGGCATGGGCTTTACACCGTCGCCCCCAGCATGGCATCTGTCCCCGTCAGGATCTCGTTCTGGTTGGAATCCAGTCCGAAAAATTTGACCTTGAGTCCGTCGACCGGGTGGACCACAGGCACCAGGGTGATTTTGGGAAAAGTCCTGGTGGCGAGCTCAAAGCGGGTGGTGCTGGCCAGCTCGATGGCCAGCGCCTTGAGGAAGAGCTTGGCCAGGTGCTTGCCCAGACAGGTCCGTACGCCTCCTCCGAAGGGGAGGTAGTGGAACCTGCCATCCTTGTCTTCGTTTCGACCCTGCCCAAAGCGGTCAGGGTCGAAGACATCCACGTCCTTGAAGACGGGAGCAGTGTCGTGGGTGTCCCGGATGCTGTACATGACGCTCCAGCCTTTGGGGATTTGGAAACCCTGCAAAGGAGAGGGAAGGGGTGGAGAGAAAACCAGAGCGAGTCAACCCTACTGCAAAGGGAGAGGAAGCGGGAGAACAAGATAAAGCCATTTTGCTTTGTCTGCTTTTTCCCATTTTCTTTGAGTTTATTACTCAAGCGTGACGCAGATTTAAAAGAAAACCAGAGAGCACAGCGCAAAGGGCTGGGAGATGGGAATCCTGTGTTTACTCCTGCCTCTATCCCAGGGACCCGCCAGATGATCCGTTGCTATTTATTTGCTTTGCGGTCGCTGGCAGGAGTCGCCTACCCGGAACCCCGCAGTGCTCGACTGCCGCCGGGCAAAGGGAAGCAGCTTTTCTTGCACCCGTGCCGTGCCCCATGCACCGGCCAGCCCTCCCCAGAGCATCCCATGGCTTCGCTCCCACCCCACTGCCTGTCAGCCCCACACACCCAACGCACATGTCAGGGCCTGGGCGATGAGAAACGGGGAGGATTTATCATCCCCTGAGCACTTTAAAAGGTTTCCAACTCAAATCATTACATTAGTAGGATTTACAGCAACAAGCCAGGTCTCAAGATTTTGTTTCGCTAGTAGGAAATTCCAGCCATTGCGATGAGTAATCCGCCTGTCATCCAGCAGCCTGGAGATGCCCTTTGCAGTAAACCTTTCCCTTGTCACACCCCAGTTTAGTTTTTGGCGTCAATCATTGTCACGAGTTGCTCTTTGAAGCATCACGCCTGTCTCCTCTTTGACAGCCCGAGCGCATCCCTTCCCTGCCATGGGCCAGATCCCATCACCCTCCTCTGATTTGTCCTTCCTGAGGTCTCATCTAAGCCAGGCTCAAGCAAGCTTTGCCCCAACACGCAAAAGGCTGTTTTGAGGAGCTCATGGTGCAGCCGCACCCCGGAGAGATGGCAGTACTCACATCCAGCTCGAAGGTTTGCAGCACCGTCCGGTACCCCCCGGAGATGGGGGTGAAGAGGCGAAGCACCTCCTTGATGACGCAGTCCAGGTAATGGAGGCTGCTGATGTTGTCGAGCCGGAGGGAGCCCTCGCAGATGCAGCCGTTGTGGAGGATGCCCTTGCTGCGCAGCTCCTCCCGCAGCTTCTCCAGGACCCGGGGATGTTTGAGGAGCTGCATGATCAGAGAGGTGCTGGCACTGGCAGTGGTGGCATAGGCGGCAAAGATGAGCTCCAGCGTGCCATCCTGAAAGACAAGAGCAAAGCCAGGGTAAGACACTGGGGATGGACAGACAGACAGGCCAGCAGCCACGGCACGTCAAGGGACAGGCACGCAGGCTGCCATGGAGCATTTTTTTCACCAACAACTCTCCAGCCTGGTCATGTCTAACTGCAAGGTCCCTCCTTGTGCAGGCACACATCTTGGACACCCACCATGGGGAGCTTCCCGCAGAGCCTTGGAGGGTGCTGAGGACCAGACAGGCAGGAGAAAAAACCCTGGGGATGGCTCTTGATAGCACATGAAGGACTAGTTATGCCATGACCCTGCTGCAGATAACAACCTGCCAAGGGCTCATTTGCCCTGCAAAGGAGGCACCATAAAACTGGATGGGTCAAGGGGTGAAGCTGGTCAAGGCTGAAAGCTTCAGCAAACTTGTACAGTCTTCTGGTAATCCCTGGAAATACTTTTTAGAAAGGGCTGAGCATGATCTGCAATATGGCCCATAGGAAAGCAACTGTCTTGTTGGCACCACAGTCCACCAGACCAGGATTCACCTGCAGCTCCAACATATTGTGGTCCCCCAGCTCTCACTGACCATCTCAGGTCTGCCCCAAAAAATCCTCCTTACAACAGCTCACGCTTTGCTCTTTGGGGAGCCCCTGCCCTGAGCACAGCAAGGACAAGGTGACCACGGGCAAGATCTTTACCTTCAGCTCCTGCATGGTGAGCTCCTTGCCATGCTCTTTGCCGCTCTCTATCAGGATGTCCAGCGCATCGGCGTAGTCCTTGCCCTGTGTGTTCTGCAGTTTCTCCTGAATGGCTTTCTCCAGCCCTTTCTGCAGTGTTTCGCGTGCCCGGATGCCCTGCGGAGTGGGAAGCCATCAGACCACACAGGACACAACGTTAGCACCACCATCCCCAGCCCAGCATCCCCAGGAGCTGGACACGTGCTCAGGACAACATGTCTAAGTAATACAACTGCAATTGCAGATGCTCAAAGAGAAGAATAAAGACTCTGAAGTTGTTCCATGGGCAGAAGGAGCAAGCCCCGAGTGGGCGAGATTACAGGCAAGAGTAATCAGCACCTACGTGCAAATGATAGGTCTGATGTGGGAGCCCCAGTACTGCATCAGTTCACAGGCCTCTGGCTCACCCTGGGATGTATGGCAATCCCTGGGAAAATTGTCTCTCAAAGGAAAGTCAGTTCATCCAAAAGGATCCTCTTCCCAGGAGCGTAATGGGCTTCCCGAGCAATTTTATCACCTGGTCTCAGTAAAGCAATTCCTATCTGAGTGCAGCTGCACTGGGCTAACCTGCTGCTGCAAACGCTTCGGGGCTGCAAATGGTTGGGCTCATTCACATGGTCAAATAACAATAGCAAAATTTGCAGCGATAATCACAAAAATAAATTTTAAAACCCCGTATTTCTGTTACCAAAATTCCCCATGAAAAGAATACAATTTTTTGTCTTTGGTTTTTGTTATGTTTTCATTTTGCATCATTCATCAAAAACTTGGAATAATCCTTGGAATTAGAGGGTCCAACGACCTGTTTTGCCCTGGGGAGAGGAGAGAATAAACAGGAAAAAGGGCCCACAAACAAAAAAATACAGCAAAACTGCCAGTTACAAGTGAGGAAAAATTATGCATTAAATCTGGGCAAGTCCTGACTGTATTCTCCCTTGCATCGAACCGCACAGTCCCTAGCACTCTAAAAACCTATGAATGGATCTCCTTCTCCGCCTTACCAAAACAGGACTTTGTAGCCCAAAATGAACCTCCTGCTAGAGGTCAGAGGGTGAGAAGACATCCCACCAAGAACCTGTTCAGGTGGGGATTAGCCACCACCCCATTAATCCCAATAATTTGGTGTTATCAGCTGGTGGAGGACTTGACCTAAATCTCTTACCCTCCTGTAGCCGCTGAAGGGCAGATCCATGGGCAAGGAGAAGACATTCTCCACAAACTGCTGGTAGACCTCGAAGAGGCGGTTGAGCTCCTCATCGGGGATGCGGAAGCCCAGCAGGACACGGATGGCCATGCGGAAGGTAAGCTTCTGGGTCTCGTGGTAGACGTTGATGGACTCGGGGTTGCTGCTCCAGGCCCGAAGGGTGTCTTTGATCACCAGCTGGATCTTGGGGAGATAGCTCTCCAGTGCCTCATGGCTGAAGATTTTGGAGAAAACCTACAAAAGAGAGTGAGCAGAGATTTCTACACAGCCCCAACACTCTCACCTTTGCCTTCTCTTGTAACCAGCTTCTGCCCACAAAAATTATCACAGGTCTCCTGCGCTGAGCAGAAGACTCATCATCATCCAGACTTCATCACCCAGAATCACCAGCTCCTAAAATAGCTGCCAGAAAGGGTCAATGGAGAAATATCAGCTGACAGATCCTCTGGAGGCTGATCCCCACCACAGCCATCACGAATGATGGGTAATAACCCGGTGCAAAACAGAGACGGGAAGAAATGCTTCACCCCACGCACGGCAGGACGGATGGAGCCGGCTTTCCCACAGCTCCATGTCTTATGGCTCCCATGTACGTTCATCTCACGATTTGGATGCTACTAATACATCTCTTCCGCAGGGATTCTCTAGTGTCTAACATTATGGTTGTGCACACATGCAGACACACACAAGCTTTTCTCTCAATGGGAAGTATCAGCAGATTCTCCCACCTCTCAATCACCCTTTTTTAATATATGTAAAAAATTAAGTAAAATAATTATTTTGAGGCATTTAGTATCACTGTGAAATCTGGCTGAACTTAGACAGGGGTTCAAGTGGGGAAGAGAAGCACACACGTACCCAGAGGCTGCGATCGCACACGGCTCATTTCCTTGGGAAACCGGGCAAAAAACCTGATGTCAGTAGACAGTATTAATTTGAGCTCTGCGAGTAAACACTGCGCGGGAGTGGGCCTCCCCAGGTCTCCGACGCTAACGGCTCCTTACTCCAATTTGGGCCAGGGCCCGCGCGTTGCGCGAGGAGCTCAGCAATGCCAGGAATGTCCCTTCAGCCCTCCCCGGCGCAGCCCACAGCACACGCTTTCATTCCGCATCCCCGCCGCATCCCTCCCAGAGTGCACTGGAGGAAAAAGTGCTGTTTGTTTATTTTTTATTAACCTACACACACACACGGGGCAGCACGCACACACGCACCGCCACATGCCAGGCCTCCGGGAAAATCAAATTAGAACAGGCTCCCAAGGAGGGAGCTGCAAGCCTGCGTAGCCTCCACCGGTGGCCAGTTCCCAGGGGGGCTCAATGCACGGTGGGGGAGCTGCAAAGTTATCAAACCAACAAGAGGAGAGAAATCAAAGCCGCCCCCTCTTTCCATGAGCGCCGGACTCGCTGGAGCTGTAAATGTGAGAATTTCCTCCGCAGTCAGCACTCAAAGGGAAAGGTAACATTTTCCTGGCTGCGACCCCTCATTGCTAATGCACATCGTTCGCTGGGAGTTTGTTTGGTGAAATAACACCTCTGTCCCCTTGCAGCCCTGGGCAGGAGGCTCGACAAGAGCCGCTTCATAACGAGCTGCGCTTGGGCTGAGCCCCGAGTAAAATTCATTACACAATACATGGTGGAGCAGAGCCTGGAGGCTCCCCATGGAAATATCAGCATGCAAACGGAATGGTAGGAGGGATGGGAGAGAAAATGCAAGCAGATCAATGGGCAGATCTGCCTGCAGACAGACAGCCGTCCCCGGATGGCTACGCAGAGCAGAGGCATGAATGAACGGAGCGGAGGAATGAATGAACAAACAGCGGGGCCGCGGTGAGATCATGGCAAGCACACAAGACGGTGTGGCTGCCACTTTCTGCCGCCTCTCCATGCTTCACAAGCTATTTTTAAGCCTGGAAAGGGCAGCGATGCTCAGGCAGACCTCCCTGTGTGAGGGCGTGTAAAAGCAGCCGCTCGGAAAAGAAAAGCTGGAGGTGCTAAAGCTGAGCCCCTTGGCTGCCTGGGGAAGGTACAAAGGAGCTGGGAAAGGGCTGGTTCCTGGTGGCCATGAGCAGGACACCAGGCTTTGATGCAGTGCCGGCTGGAGGAGAGCTGGCAGCCATGAGCTGCTCGACAGGGATGGGACAGGACCTCCTGAGTGTGGCTGGCAAAGGGACACCAATGTCTCCCCATCCAGCTGGCATCTGCCCTTCATCCACGCTGTGGGGTTTGGGATAAGGGCAGAGGCTCCCAGTGAATCTCCCTGCTCTCCCCAAACGCTTCCCGTGACTCAGTTTCTCCAGCTGAAAGCAGAGCCGATGAGGGGACAGCTGCTGCTTAAGGAGCACCGAGGCTGCAGCCTTGCTTGGAGCCACCGTCCAAGGAGGTGGTCCCTGGGGCTCCTGACCTGGAGCAAACCCTGTCCTCCCACAGCTCTGCCCAGCATCTCCCACAGGCAAAGTGCTTGGGGACCCCCTCCACCCTGCAAAAAGTACAGCAGCCCAAGAAACGCCTCTGGTCCCACTGTGCAAAACTGCTGCGGTGGGGCAGAGAACCAGACCGGGGCCAGATCCACACTCCACGGACCAAGACAGACTCTGAAGAGGAGAGCGCCTGTCCCAAGGAGTGGTGTGCAGCAAAGGCGCAGAGGAGGGGACCCCCAGGAAGAGAAGACTGAGCCCCTGTGGAGGTCAATGCAGCACCTGCCCAGCCTGAAAAAGCAGGAGCATTTAGTTTGCTCTTTTTTGAGCTGTTCTTTTGCTAGCAGGCTCCTCCAGCCCCAGCCAGCTGCACCCCACATCTGCCGGAGCCTGCAGCTCCCGGCCTTAGGGCCGGCCGACATCGCGAGCCCTGGCCACGCTGCCAGCTCGCTGCAACATCCCGTCCGCTCGCCGCCGCTGCGCTCCACGCCGCCTAATCCCAGATGTCAGCGGATCCTTCCCCAGCCAGACACAAGTCTGGATCCCCTTCCAGTCACCTCCAGTTCAACCCTGCATCTTTCCAGTTGATTAAAAAGGAGGAAAAGGCAGCCAACTTTCCCCGACAAACCTCCGCACGTTTCTAGCCTACAATTCCTGCGCCCTCTAGTGAAGCCGAGCCGAACGTCTCGGCCGCTCGCTGGAGCAAGACCAGGCAAAGCCAAGGAGCATCGGTGCAAAAAAAGTAGTTCCTGAGCTGCCAAGAGGCAAAATCAGCTCTAAGGGGATGCTCGGCTTTGCTAACACCGAGATGCAATAGCCATGGTGGGGGTCCGGCCAGGTGGCCTCAGCAGCAGTGCCGGGGCAGTGGCCAGGACTTTCCAGGGATGCTAGAAAAGAGCCCCCGTTTTTTTCACATTTTGATATGTCCCAAAAGAACCAAGTCTGGGGATTTGCTCTGTCTGGGGGCATTCATTTACCCACACACGCTCACCCTGCGCCGAGGGAGACACCACCACCCAGCAAGCCTGGCTGGAAACTTCCGAATCCATCTCATAGTGGAAACAGGATATTTAAAGATTTATGGTTTTCCTAAGGCAGAAAATTCCTTCTCAGTGTCTCAGCTGCAGGATCTCCTGGAGAGGTCCAGCTCCCTGTGACAGCCAACTGCCCCCGGTCCCAGCTGGAGAATACCCCAGCCCCATCCTTAAACCACACCGAAGAGGAGAGGACATTCAAGTGAAGAGCTCTGAACTTCAACCCACAGTGTTTTCATGTGTAGCAAAGGCTTTGTTTGGTGGCTGGGGTGGAGACGAGTTAGCAAGGACGATGCTTTTCATTGTGTTACCCTTCCTTGGTGCTGGCCAAGCCTCCCCATGCCAAGCACAAGCCTCAGCCTCTGCCTTTTGCTGACCATGGTCTCCTCTGCTCCCACCCGGCACATCAGCACGGCAAAGAGGGAACGGAACTTTTCCTTCCTCCCCTCCAGGAGGAAAACTTACGCTTTGGGATCAGACACCTGTGTCTCATCCAGCCTGCGCTGGCCAGAGCTGCTGGCCCAACCAAACGAAGGCACAATTAGCGTGGAGATGTTTTCATGAACCAATTTGGCACCTGCCGGTGGCTTGGCCAGCAGGACGTGTCAGGAAGCATCCAAAGCAGCATCTCAACCTGGAGACATACTATTTCTTCCTACGTTTCAAAGTCCAGGCAGTGTCTGTCCCAGCCCTGTCCTGTCTCCATGTTATAATGGATGTCTGCCTCTCTCTGGCATCAGATGCAGGGCTGTCAGACGTGGAGCCCACTGCCATGCGCCAGTGGGCTTGTAAACCATGATATTTTTGGAGCGGGATGAGAAGACTCATGGGCAAAAGGCTGCCCTGGCATCGGGAGCACAGGCAAAGTGAAAACATGGCAAAAAAGTTGTTAAGACTACGCAAGGCACTGCAAAGAGCAGAGGACCTCCACAAAACCCCGCCACTGCCCTGACACTCTGCCGCCTATTTTTAAAGGGCTTTGCCTTTCCCAGGCACATAGCAAAGAGCTGACACCTTTTCTCCCTGTGCTGTAATTGGAAAACAGAGCACACGGACCACTCCGAGGTCTCCTGCCATGCTCCATCATGGGAGGAATCCAGGCCCATTGAGAGGGGAAAGCCAAGAGTTTCAGCTCCCGACCACCCAAAATGAGCAACGCTGGGCTTGCCCATCAAAGCGCAGCGCTGCACGCAGTGTGCAGGTGAGGAGCGCGGGTGTCTCGGGGGAGCTGAAGGCAGCAACCTCTCCCAGGGAGAAATGCAAGAGCCCCATGAATGCTGCGACCCGTCTCCAAAGGGAGTCTGGTTACAGTACCTGGAATCTCCAAACTCAGCCCAGCTGAAGAAAAACGGAGTGCCTTTGCAAAAGGCAGTTTTACTGAAATTCGAATGATTCTCGAAAAACTGTGCTGGAAAAAAAATTAAAAATCATTTCAGCATCTTGGGCCAAGTTATGATGATCATGCACCTTTCAGGACTGACCATGCCCCTACTTTTTAAAAATTTTTTTAAACATCTAGGGTTGTGAGAAACGCTAGCATTTCATACTTCCACTTGAGTTCAGAATAAAAACGAGCCCAAGCACCCCATTTCCCCATGGTTCACAAATCTCCATGTCCACGCAGCTGTCCTGCAAACCCTCCACATGGCATGGCAGACCGCTTTCAATCCGAAACCTTTACCAGGCTATCAGGTTAAAGAGGCTGTGATGCAAAGGCTGGGGGCGAGAGCAGGGAACAAGCAGGACACCCTACATCTGTCTCAGCACCCTTTATCTGTCTCAGCACCCTCCTCTGCAAAACTGCCTCGTGTCTCAAAAAAAACGCCAGCACCAGCAAAATGCAACCAGCCACCTTCAGCAATTCAGGCTTATTAGCCCACTTTATGGGGATAGCTAAACACGCTGCGTTTTTTCAGCGTCTGTGTGCCTACACCACCTCTGAAGTGCTGCTCCAAGTGGCCTACCCCCATCTATTCACAAGGAACCAGTGCATCTGAGGAGAGCAAAATTCACCTTATGTATCGTCACCACTCTTCAAGGAGGGAATCAAAGACAGGGAGGGAAAGAGAAAGAAGATATCACATCAACGGATAGTGTGGGGGAGTTGTGTCCAGACAGAAGGGATTAGAAAGGGGGGATCAGCTGGCCAAGAAGAGGTCCAACAGGGCATGCACCCGCTGCCCGTGGCTGGTGTCTTTGGCTGGAGCTGTGAAGAAGGAGCATCCTGCAAACCCACCAGGCACACCACTGCATGGTCAGAGCAGCCGTTCACCAGTATCAGAGGGCTGGGTTGAGCTGGGATGGGCTATCTCTTTGCTTTTGGACCATGTACTAAATCCCAGATCTGTGGTGTGGAGATGAGAGTTTACCCAGAGCTAAAGAGGAGGAGAGCAGCTTGCCCAGGCGGCAGGGATAGTGCCCTGTCCACCACTGCAGAGCCAAGGAGGAGAAATATTAAGAGAGAAGGCCCCTTTTTGCTGCCCCCGTGCATCTTCCTGGAGCACGGAGCGGGGACCAAAGGGAAGGGACCTCACACGTTTAAGTAACCCAGAGCATGGACTCTCCTAGAGACAAAGCCAGACTTGGCAAAGAAACCAACCTCAAGTGCTCTTCCATGGGAGCACTTAGTCTTTGGTCCTGCCAAGTGTTCCACAAGCTGGGAGTGGAGCAGAGTGCGAGGGGTGGCCATGCTCACAGAGGGGATGAGAGGGAAACACCCGCCCCATGATGCAGCCCACTCCGTCCCAAAGGTGAAATAAATACGCCTTTCCAAGCATGCGTGGTCGCTTAGCAGAAATAGGGGAAGATGCTTGGAAAAGCATGTCCTCCAGTAGCTCTACCACCGAAATCCTGAGTAAGGTCTTGCAAAACCTCCATGCCTCGTATGGGGATGAGCACGCATCTGACGGCACGGAGGTGTCCCTGCTTATCAACCCATGAGCTCCTCCAGACTACCAATAAGGCCTCTTCTGAGCTTTAAGCTAAGCCCAGGGAGGAGATGACAAGGGCTGAGATGACCCAAGGCCACCCTACAAAATTAAGGAGAAGGAAGCTGAAGAGCAAGCTGGCTGACAGATATATTTAGTGGTAGAAGTAATGGAGAGTATCGTTAATCTGAAACAAAGCACTCGGTCCCCAGAGGGATGAGCGGGATATTACAAACCACAACTTAGCAGGTTGCTCGAGCTGCTTGGAAGGACAGAGTATGATGCAGTAGAAAACCAAAGCTACACAAAGACAGCGTAGGATGGATCCTGAGCCTGAAAAGCTCCCTCCACATCTCTGGGATTAGCTCCTGGCATCTCCCATTCCCACTCTGAAGTGGAGCCTGGAGCCATGCAGAGCTACGGGCTGCAGATTGCAGTTGATAGAATCGTTAAGGTTGGAAAAGACCCTTAAGATCATCGAGTCCAATCGTTAACCTATCACTGCCAAGGCCACCACTAAACCGTGTCCCTGAGCACCACGTCTACCCGGCTTTTAAATACCTCCAGGGATGGAGACTCAAGCACTGCCCCAGGCAGCCTGGGCCAGGGCCTGACAGCCCTTTCAGGGAAGAAGTTTTTCCTAATATCCAACCTAAACCTGCCCTGACGCAGCTTGAGGCCGTTCCCTCTCGTCCATTCCACCCAGTGCAGAGCATTGCAGCCTGAGGAGGGGTTTCATCTTCTCTGTGTCTCACAGGACAGCCAACAACTTCCATCCCAGGTGATACAGAAAGGTAGAAAAGCCTACATTAAAGAGGTTCAGCTTGCAGGGTATTGTACAGCTCCTGGGCTGTAACTGCGCTCCAACACAGCACAGCTTCTCAAAGCAGGGTCTGAGCTTGCAGGGCATTTTGGGGTGGAAGGCGTTATGAAAAACGCATGAAATTTGTCTTTCAGCCAGGAGCGCCTGCGCTTTGCTTTTTTTTTTAATCCATTGGAATTACTCTGGATTTACACCACTGTAGATGACAGCGCTATTTGGTCTAAAGTCAATGAGCCAACCTAGCTGACAAATTCTTCCCCAAGACCGCGAGCGGGAGCCCTCCTGCGTCAATGAAAGCCTTTTCTCCAGCTCCAGTGGCTTTTGCCCGTGGGTTAAAGCTCACGGGGCAGCAGCCCAACGCGGAGGGACCAAGAAGGAGCTGGAGCCGGGCCAGCGGATGGCAGCTGGAATCCAGCCCGCTTGAGCTGACCGATATGATCTGGGGGGGCTTGGATGGAAGGGGATGGTTTCTTTTCCACCGTGGGATTTACAAGTCACACGGAGGAGGGTGGCGGGGCTGGGTGGAAACGAAAGACAAAAAAAACCCTAAAAAAACCCCTCTTAACAACTTGGGTCAGGGTTTTTTGTAGTGTGAAAGGTACATTCCCGCCGCCCCCCATCCCTCCTTCCTCGTCCCC